TTCTCATTATAAACGTTTTCTTAAAATAAAATAAATTTTTTTTTATAGATTTGAGATTAATTTGAAAACTTATATTATGGGGTTATTTTTTCCGTGGTTATTTTTTCGCGTGGTTATTTTTCCGGGGGTTTTTTTTTTCGGGGTCTAAATTTCCGGGGTTATTTTTTCCGTGGTTATTTTTTCGCGGTACCGCGGTTATAGTGTGCAGAAAGCATATAGTAGGTATACTATACAGTTTTAACATATTTATTATTTAGTCATCATTTAAAAAATTGTAAGTTGCACAATCTCTGTAGGTATTTGTGACCTTTTTCTTAGTATTACATATTTTTAAAGTTTTATGGTTAAATCTTAAATAGAGTTAGTACAATGTTGTTTGTTAACTAGTTGATTATCGTTCTTGACTTTTAACACTCAACTTCACCAACTCGCGTACGATTTTTTCATAACTCGCCCGTCTATCACTGATAATATTCTTAATCAAATGTACTTGTTGTACGCTTACTATGGATTGTAAACATWATGTCAATAAATATTATAAATAAAAACAAACTTGCCTGTCTTTGTTAAAAAGTCAGGCGCCACGTAATAAATATCACGTGATTTATCAAATCTCCCATGATGTTAAGCAGGTTAGCGCAGATACGCCATATTAGATATAAATAATATAATATTATTTGKACTCATTGTTCCTTCAATGTTGTTATGCTGTAAATTATTGTTTACGTGTTGGAAACCAAAACGCATAATAGTCTATAGCTTGGTATATCGCCACGTGTATATGCATGTGACATGTCTACTYCTGGTGGGTAGAGAGAGAATGGTAGTTCAGTAGTTTTGCCAAACGCGCATTTCGAGTCGACACTGCTGTGYTATCGCTATATTGTAACACACAAGCGGCACGCATTTCCTTTGTTCGGTTGCCGAGTAACATCGTGTACGATCTGTGTCCCCTGCACACCACCTGTTCGACGTGACTACCTATGACCTACCATGCCGACCCATGCCGAGTCCCGAGGCCCAAGACCACGTCGAAACCGAACAAACGATTCACAATGTCTTCAACATCCCGCCGTCTGACGGCCACCTGTTCCACCTGCTCGCAGACTCTTCCCCGCCACTGACGCAAACAGGTATAGGTACCTACTCACGAGGGTGGCGTGTCACACTATACATCGCAATGCGTGTAACGAGGGAGTCTAAAACCGTGATTTTCGATTTTCGAAAAGGTACCGGGTCCATGGTGGCGCGACCCTAATCGCACGCAGTGCCGTGGGTTCWAAGAACCATTTTTTCTTCGATTCGTGTATTACGTGAACAAAGCTCGCGGGTGGTTCTTTAGTGTACAAGGTTGGGTGGAAATATGATATTATCGTGTCGTGAACGTCACCGATCACAGCATTATCGCGATATCTATGGATCGCGGACGTCTAGAGCCTTTCCTCAAATCGTGTTTTTAAAAATAAACTACTCGACGGGACGATAAGACGAAAGTTTCCCTCGTGTTGCGACGCGTGTAGTGTGTACGGAATCGATTATTATTGAATAACTATAAAAACAACTAACAATAATGACAGATTGACAGCGTATATTTTACACGCGGTCCCCTGTAGTCCTGTACAATATAGCGGATTCGTAAAAATACTAAAAATACATTTGGAAATAATCGTGGCGGTCGTCTAAACTCGGATGTATAACCGATCGTTTGGCGTTATCTCGCACGTGTACACGGATAGCTGCCGCGGCCCCTTATAATTAATGCTTCGGTGCTATTACTATAGATCTGGTTAATAATTGTCACGCGGCAGTGTTTGATTGTTATATGTATATACATTGTATTATGTATTTTATATTGTTGTGATAAAATAATATTGTGCCGCCGTCGCCGTCGCAATCACCGACATCGTGCACCTGCAAAATGTCTAAAACACGATTTAGACGATAATATCGAATATTATTATTGTTATTATTATCGTTTATTATTTGGTGCCGCAGAAGCCCCAGCCGGACGGGCTCACGATCGGGCGGGGGTACGGTATCCGACGGGGTACGAGCTGCACGTCGGGTCCGTCGTCCGTCGGTACATCAGCGGCACATCTTGACCGACGACCGTCAGTCTTCAGTAGTTCAGTACTCACCTCTCAGTACTCGTCACTCGTCACTCGTCCGTCGCGAAGTCGCCCGCAAACAGCCGGCCAGGGATCCACATACCCCGCTAAATTATATAATATTATCCGGATTCCAGAGTGACGAGTGAGTGTTTCCCGTTTTTTGAATTCGTGTTCAACAGACTGACGGACGGGACAACGACGGTTCATATTTATAATTATAATAATATTGTTGTAAATTTACCTACCAACGTATTGTTATTTTTTTTGTAAATCGCGCAATAAACAACCACCGTTTCAGAATTCTTCAACATTAGTTTCTGCAGCGGTTATTCGATCAAAAAAAGAAAAAAAACCGAAAACTTTATTATAACGACTTCGGGGAAGTTCGCCGTCGACTGCAACAGGACCATAACGAGGCCTGGTCTCCGTCACTGCCAACTTCGGTGTTTACGCGATAATACTATGGTAAGTGACCGCCTCCCATTTATATAGAGCTATAATAGACGAAAGTTTATATTTTCCTGGTTTTTTGTTCCTGACCACGTTATGCGTCGGCTTCAAGACCCAAAACAATTTGTTTATTTGGGCTTGACGATGTGTGTCGTATTTTAAAATTGACTGTGGTCAAATTTGTGTGTAGAGTTATTTTATTATCGGTTTGCCTACAATACCATATTTTACATGTAGTCGACCAAAAAAATAATATTTTTATCTTACTAGTGTTGTGTGTTTTATTTTGTAAATAACTGTAAGACTGTTATTCAATATTTATTTCAGGCTTTAAATCATMAAAGACATACTGATAAATGGTGGGAAACAGAGTACAGTGACAACATACATTCATATTTACAGTACCATGAAGTTAAATGGAGGATAGTATATGGAGCCAGATCGCCTCAAGTAATGCTTATAAAATAATATAATTTTAGTATAATTTAGTATAGGAATTTCAGTTTTATGCAAAATTAAATAATATTATTTTTTATAGTTACTATAACTGTTCTCAATATAAATTTTTGATTATAGAGAGTAGTTATCAACTTTTTATCCGTGTAATTGATATAGTTTATTTATATTAGGTATATATAAATATATTTTAGATTTTAAATAAATAAAAAACCGTATCCAGACATTAATGTTCCTCATTTTTAGATTCATTTGCGACCTGTGTTGTTAAAAACAATTAGAAGTATAGCCAAGTCATGTGAAATTTCAAATGTATGTGTTCATTTGGCTGTCACTTTGATGGATTTATTTATGGATAACCATGATCTAAAGTTTGATACTATCATGCTAGTCTCTTTTGCATGCTTAACATTAGCTGGTAAGTGTTATTATTACTGTTTTTAACTATCAATCTAAAGGTAAACTACATCAATTTTATTTCCATAGCAAAAATTGAAGAACATTGCTTAAATATACCAAAGTTAAAAACCATGCAAAATGTCATTAGTAAAGATGTAACAAATTCCCACTTTCGTAAAGTTGAGATGAAAATTTTAATGTTTTTCGAGTTCAACGTTGCAATACCTACAGTTGCACATTTCATTGAATTTTATAAAGACCATTTTTACTGTGATAATGATTTTTATCATAATGAATTTACAAGTATTTTAAAAGATAAATTCAACAGAATGATAATATCATACCAGGATGCATCATTGGAAAGTTAGTATTCTGTATTGATTGAATTCATACATGTTTTATGATATAATTATTGCTCAATATAGTTTTTAACTACTTTTATTATATCTACATTTTAAGTTTGAGGGTACACAGCTATAGGTTTTAGAATTTATTAGCTTTTGAATTTTTATAAAACTAATAGGTAGGTGGTCTTAAGTTAATTAATAATTACTACAGGTAACCAGTAGATCTAAATCAATATCATTTATTCATTTCTATGATAATTGATAACCTTTAAATTTAACCTGTTTGTTTCTTATTAGTCTGAGTTTATTTTGACATACGATGCTTAAGAATAGTGACACAACTCAAAAATTGGCATTTTCGAGATTATTATGAAAATGCATTGCAAAATACCCATATTTTTAAGTGCAAGAACAACTTTTTTTTTGTTTCCGAAAATCGTAGTAAGATGGTTGTAGTGTCGTTATTCCCTTATCGCATAATCGAAATCTTTAATCCGCTGTACTGAAAGATCTACTTTTTTGAGTTGTGTCACTATTCTTGTGCACCAACAAATTTATATATATGACTCACATGTAACATACTATGCAATTTTTGTAATATATTATGTTAGGTTGAAAACTCTGTCTGTAGATCAGACAACAAACCACATCTTCCATTTACTATTTATTGTGATACATCTGAATATGTGACTCAATATTCTAAATTTAAAGATGTCCATACCTAATTCTTTTTTATATTTCTACTAATTGGAAACATAGATTTGTTTAGAGTGATGAATTTATGTAATTTATCCATAAGTTGTACTTAAAACAAGTTGTCCCAAGAATTAAAAAGCTAAAACCAATGGTAAATTAATAATGAACTACTAAGAGCCACCAGAGATGTATTTGAATTTTTTGAAAATTGTATCTATAGTTAAATGTGTTGTAAATATATTATATAATGTAATTTTTATGTGTTTCAGGCATAAAACTAATATCTTATAATCCGTCAATGGTTGCAGCTAGTATTATATTAACTACTAGGCATACATTAGGATTGGTCCCATGTTGGACTGCACAACTACGAAAAGTGACTGGATATTTAAAAAAAGATCTCGTGCAGTGTTGTTCTCTATTAGGGTATTTTTTTTAATTATCTTTATTATATATTTTATTTGGTGATTTTTTTTTTATTTTAACGTGTGTGAATTTGATGTTAGGTGTATTGTTTTGATAAACTGGACACTTCTATTGCACTAAAAACTCTGTTACAAGCAGAAACCAATTTTTTCTATTCGAAATTAAGTGTTATTATTTATATTTTTGATTTTTATTAATGGTTTTGTCAATCTGAGATTTTTTATTAGATTTTTTTATGCTTGCCAATTAAATTAATGACTATATTTATTTTACTTTAATAAATGGTACAATCGCAATTAAATATAATTTTTCTTTTGATTTTTCAACCACCATTTCTGTCTTATGTTTTATTTATTATTGTCATTAAATTGTAATTACTAATTAAAACATTGTTTTACAGAAGAAATGTAATGCAGCACAGAAAACTTGTGCCAGTAGATGAAGGATACCTTAGTTCTTCTCCAGGTTTTCAATCTCCAATTATCATGGCAAGTAAAAAGAAAAGAAGTCACATTGATGTACCAAATGTAATTTTATCAAAACGAACAGCATTCTAAAATTTTTACAACTGTGATAAGTTATCCTATAATTATTCCTATTTTCCTAGTTGTGTCATTTCACAATGCCTATCCTAAGTTATTTATTTGTTTCTATTTAAAAGTATATTGTGATATTTATTCATAAAGCTCAATTTATTTTATGAGACTGAATTTTGTTTTATTGGGTAATTTATATTTATTATTTTTTTGTTCTTGTTATAAACTTTAATTTTTATTTATTTATATTTAATTGTTTGTGTTGATAAAACTAGTTAAAAGTGTATTCAATCATTTATTATGCAATTGTTGTCTAAATTCCAAAAAGGTAGATTGAATCTAATTGTAAAATACAATTATGTTAACTAAAAATGCATTTACTTTTTAATAATTAATGAACTTCCTTTAGCGTCTAATTCAAAGACGTTACATTGGCGAATTCTTTAACAAGTAGAAAAATTTGGTAGTAAGAGTATATGAGACCATAATATTACAAGAACAATTACATATCAATGTTAAAATTTTTTAAAACAATAGCTACTAGATTTCTTTAGTTATGGCCATTCATCTAAAAAGTATTGCAACTAGGTATTTAAATAAATAAATGGCTATTGTTTAACTTCTTTATTCTTAGAGATCTATAAAATGGATTAAAGTAAAAGTAATTTATGAAAAGTATACTATCTTAGTTTAAAAAAAACTAGTTATTTTATTTTAATTTAATATTTTTAAATATACCTAATAAAAACAAGCATTTGACATGTATTTGAATACTTGACGAGTAATAGTTGGTAATTAGTGTTACAGTCAGCATTTAAGTTTATTTTTATTAATGTTTTTTTCTTTTTTAAATTGAAATCTAAAATTTATTTGACTATTTTAGTGTATAAATTTGAAGTTGTTTGCTATTTTAAAATTAATGTTAAAATATTTATATAAATATGAAATACAAAATACATTAGAAAAAATACTGGCAACAATTAAATCGATTACTCTCTAACTTATAAACAGTATGTACCATGTAGTCAAATAGCATTCATGTACATGTTAATTGTGATTTCTCCTTGGTTATAGATCAACCAATGTCTAATAATCCAATTACTATTGAATAAATTATTTTCAATTGATTAATCTCAATTTTTATTTACATCCTTGAATTAAAACTGATCAATGCACATCCACAATAAAAATAAATTGTTATAAGTCATAACTAACTGGATCATAATATAATACACAAATCTCAGTAATCCAAGAGTTAATAAAGAAATATTAAAGTAATTTGAAAATATACAATTTATTAAATATTAAAGTTAACTTACCATTTTAAAGATGAATTTGACTTGAGTTTGATTAAAAAAAAATGAATGTAGGTTTTTTAGGGTTTGAATATAAAATTATAATATAATGATTACAGAATTTAATGTGTGCTTTTTTTTTATGTTTACATTTGGGGTTTGTCTTTATAGAAATTTGACTTATATCAGAAGGAGTTTAATATAACAAATAATTTTTTGCAATACATTTTTTTACTATTTGTGGGTATATTTACTTTTTATAGGTTCAAAGTCTGAGCTATAATTGTACATATAAAATATATAACCAGCAGTATAATAATATCATATGCATACCCTTAATAATTGACCAATATAACACATTCAACACAAAGAAAACACTTATAATTTAATATTTATTTTACAAGTGTTTATTTGATTATTACTCCCCTTAATTTTGAAAGTTAAATTTGTTAAATTTTATAAAAAATAATTAAGTAACCATAGAAAGTGTCATCAATAGGTGGCGGCTCTTTTATCAAATTATTTTCTTGTGAATGTACACTTAGCACATATTCTTATTGTATTAATGATACAGATTGTATATTACATGTGAAAATAAAAATAAAATAAAATAGAACCTTAAATCTTCTATTGAAAAATATTTAAAACAAAAGTAACAAAATACTTAGCATAATTTATTTTTGATACATTTCTTACCATTTGAACATTAAAAATAACATTGGTTACAAATATACAAATAAAATTTACCTGAAATCATTAGTTACCAATATCCAGAAAATTGTTATAACTCAAAGAGACAATTTAATTGAGTAAGGAACATTTCATGTTTAATCATAAAAAACAACAGTTATACTTATTACCCGCACAATATCTAATATTCATAAAATATATTACATTTCAATACAGATCAATAATTATAATTAGTAATTGATAAGTGATTACTAAAAAGAAAGAAATTATTATATTGATAGCAGGAGATAAAACAAGTGTATTTTGACTTCATTTTCAAATATCTGCCAAATAGTACATATTTTCTAATGATAATTGGCACCCAAATTCCAAAACAAAATAAATTTCCATGTTCAGCAACTGAGAATCAATTGCTATTGATATAGGTCATAGATGTAATTGTATTTATTCTTCAATTTTTAATGGGAATTCAAATTTTATCAAAATAAAACCCCATATCAATTGGGAAATTTTTCAAACCGAGGTAATCTTTTTAATTTGCATTTAAGCACATTAAAACTTTTGTGAGTAATAGTTAAGAAGAATTCATTAAGACATAAGAATACCAGAAATTCAACACTTGATGGACTAGTCCCAAGAAGCCTCACCTAAGAATAATACTGTAAATACATATTTTTCTTACTTCTCAATAAAAAAAAATGGAAACTTAACAGTAGAATACTAATATTTTGGGCATTTGAAATCTGTACTTATCAAAATTGAGTAATTTATATTTTCTAATTTAATTTTGGAATGAATTAAATTATGATGTTACATGATCCAATTTTAATCAATTTAGCTGTTTTAATGAATGTTTGTTCTTAATCGTATTAGTTACCAATTACTGATGATATTGATTCAAATTAGAAGTGTTATTTTAATTTAGTGCATTTAAACATACTAGAGTTGTAGAATATTAATTTATTATTAAGATGTTATTATTTTTATTAATTATCTGACGTATTGGTGAATTGTTTTTTTTTTCAAACTAGATGCTACCATTCATTAATACAAAAATGTATATATACTAGTAATAATGTAGTACACTCCTTTTTCAATCAACTTACAAATTTAATTATTTTCTGAACTCATCGCTTGAGCAGCATCTGCAAGTGTTGAAAGGTTATCAGGCGGTACTTCTCCATTAATATCATTAGCATGCTGTTCCTCTTTTTCAATTAATTCAGCAGCCGCTTGTAAAGATGCTAATCCTGGACTATTTATTTCGTTAACATCTGTTCGTAAGTGACGATGCTCTGTACGTACTTCAAATGTATGTAATGGTAGCTGTTCAAGCCATAATTGCATACTAGATATAAAGACTTAAGGTTTATTTATATAACATAATTAATTTAATAACCTCGTCATATTAAGTGGTTTCAAATTGGCGTGGATTAAGAGGGTCTTTAAGTTTTCTTAAATACAAAATTAATTATTTGAACAATAATACAATTAAGAGGACGCTACACCCGCATGTGTTGTCTCCGTMTTACAAGTGCGTAACATTGCAAAAACTGTTTCGCGCGGAAAAGAACCGAGAAAGATACAGTTATAACTAAGAAACAAAATTTTCATCACATAAAAAAGAGAATTTTGTCTGTGCAATATCGTTTTTATTTTTTCGATATCACTTATACAAAAAAAATTCTTATTGTTTGATAATACATTAATTTCGTGTTTTTTAAGCATAAATAACTTTTTTTGTAGTTCTGATATCGAAAAAATAAAAACRATATWGCACAGACAAAATTCTCYTTTTTATGTGATGAAAATTTCGTTTCTTAGTTATAACTGTATCTTTCTCAGTTCTTTCCCGCGCGAAACAGTTTTTGCAATGTTACGCACTTATAAGACGGAGACAACACATGCAGGTGTATCGTCCTCTTAAGAGTACGTGATACCCGCATGTGTTGGTTCCGTCTTACCAGTGCATTATATATTAAATTTTACGTTCAGCAGAACACGTGTAGCTCCGTTACCTTAATAATTAGAGTAAATTGACCTCTTGTAAAATTAAAAGGTATGATTGTTATCTAGACAACCTCATATGCTTTTTATTATATTTAAATTTTAAAGCAAGTTATGAGTATTTTAAGATGCACAAAAAAATTGAAAATTTTAAAATACTCATAACTCGCTTTAAATTTAATATATAATAAAAAGCATATGAGGTTGTCTAGATAATAATCTTACCTTTAAATTTTATAAAAGGTCTATTTACTCTTAATTTTTAAGCTAACGGAGCTACACGTGTTCTGATGAACGTAAAATTTACTATGTAATGCACTTGTAAGACGGAGACAACATATGCAGGTATCACGTCCTCTTAAGTACTAAGCGTGATGTGCAGATACTTTCTAAAACACATAGTAAATACCCATGGCCTATGCCCTATGACCTCGACAATTTTTTTTTTTATAAGAAGCATTTTTATAATTCTGAATCTATTTAGTAATAATTTATACATAATAATATTTTTGTCAAAGGATACGAGCTCTCTTCTTTCTCTACTTTGATAATGGTTGGAATTATGTACTTGGCTCTAAATTCAGATACTTGATCATTGAGCTCAACAAAATCTAAACGCTCATGCATGCCATCATTACCAAATTTTGAATTATATTTGTCATAATGCACTTCTTCTAATACCAAACCTAAACCTGGAGCGATAGGTAAATCAAGACGATCAGGTTGCCAAGAACGTTCAATCACATCATGCTTTGCTACACCTCGACAAATAGCAATAATCACACCAACCATTTTACGAATCTGATGCAGCATAAAACTTTGTCCTAAAACCAAATTAAAACATAAACACTCTTCTTATATTAAAACCATATTTTTATAATTATTACCTCTAACATACAGTGATATTAATTCAACACCATCTTTTTCATATGGCTTATCACAGTAAAAACTAACCATGTACCTTTGTGCACTTGGATCACCTGGTTTTCTGAACATTATATAATCCAAATTTATAATTTTTGACATAATTTGTATATAATGAAATTTTAAAATTTAGAGGACGTCGCACCCGCGTGTGTTGTCTCCGTCTTACATACGTACGACATAGGAAATGTTTGTTCGCTAGTTTCAATAGGGTATTGTCAGTTTTGATATTAAAGTGAATCCACTTATTATAAAACTTTTAGGTAGCAACATTATCTGTGTTCTCTCGTTGGTTTTTTACGATAGTTTAATTTTTAAGTGAGTTATGGGTATGTAAATTATGAATATTTTAAAATGTTCATAACTCACTTAAAAATTAAAATATCGTAAAAAACCAACTAGAGAACACAGATAATTTTACTACCTAAAAGTTTGATAATAGGTGGATTCACTCTAATATCAAAACTGACAATGCCCTATTGAAACTAGTGAACAAACATTTCCTAGGTCGTACGTGTGTAAGACGGAGACAACACATGCGAGTTAGACGTCATCTTAAATATTGCAAAAACTGTTTAGAGCAGAACAGAACCAAGTTGTAATCCAAGCTAAGCAACCAAATTTTCACACTATAAAAAGGAGAATATTTACAGTGCAACATTGTTTTTATTATTTCGATATCAGAACTAAAAAAAAGTTATTCAAGGTTAAAAATTCAAAAATAATGAATTCTTAAAGATTCAGAACTTTTTTCATAATTGTGATATCAAAAAATTAAAAACAATGTTACGCAGTAATAGTTATAGTCTTTATAGTTTAAAAATTTGGTCACTTAGCTTGGATGTGTTTAGCTTGAGCAGTTCTTTTTCGCAATGTTTTACACTTGTAAGACGGAAACAACAGTGCGGGTGAAGCATCCTCTTAAAGAATTTACTATCCTTTGAACTTACTTTTTAGAAGTATAATTATGATAGTTGTGACATCCTAAGAAACTCTTGACAACTTCATTTATTCTATTAACAACAGTGGCATCAATCCTATAATTAAAATCTATGGTAGCTTCTGATGGTGCAAAAGCAAAAGTTGGACATGTGTATGAATATGTTCGTCCATCACAAGAATTTTTACTGTTGAAACCTTTCGTTACTCTTCTGATGTCAAGAACCCTAATTTGTTCTGGTAAAGCTGTATTAATAACTTGTTTATCTACATCTTCAGCTGAAATGGTTAGTAAAAGTTAAATTAGAATCAGGATTTAACTTACTCATAAAAATGACAAAATATTAAAATATACATTTTTAAATTATGATATCATGTTTTCAGGGTTTAAAACATATATGCTTAATTTTTATTTTCTCAATTTTGTATTTAAAGTTCTCACAACATAGTTGGGAATTGGGATGTCGTAGATTTTATTCTGAAGAAATAATTTTCATAACATATTATCAAAATATATTTTAGGTAAATAATTAATACAATTATTGGAAAATATACTTTTATCAGCATAACATTTTTAAAAATGTTTGTATCTATAAAACATGATATTATGGAGGGAGAAGGAGTATTTTGTGGTATGTAGATCTTTAAGTTATAATTTGAAAACAAGAATTCTTTAAGTTCCAAGAGACACTTATTATTTTTAAAATATATAACTTTGTTAGTAATAAAAAATAAATAATAAATAATAATCATATAAAAACATACCTAAAATACCAAAGGCAGGATGGAAAATTACTACAATTTATGTTGTTAAGTATTGAAAATACTTACGTAATAAAAGTGAAATTATTTGTCTTAGAGCAGATACTCCTTTGTCAGTTCTAGCAGCACGTTGAAATTGCATAGTTTGAATTTGTTCAAAACCTTCATCAGTAATTAAATTTTTTGATTTTAATGCAAGCAACAGCTCTTCTTCAACTGTCTTTACACCCTTATTTCTATAAGTTACAAAAAATTTAGAAATTATATTTGCCAAATTATGTTTTATAATTACCTCTGTAAACCTAAATATCCTTGTCCAGAGTATGCCAATAATATAGCACATTTTTTTCTTTTGACCTTTGGTTCTATACATAGTTTTTTAGTCACAAAATTCTCATCATCCTCCGATAGCGGATGTTTCTGATTGATTATCGGATCAGACACCATCGTGCGGACAGTGAATAGAGTTGCTCCAAACGATGTTCGACAGACTATTATAAAAATGAATGATATCAGAATAATTACACAACTCTATAGACTAACATCTATAGCAATATCGCTCAAATAATATAATATATATCCTGGCAATACCTACTACTGTGTACCTGATTTTATAGGCAACAAGGCTTTAAGTAACTGACGAGTGGACAATACCATTTAGCACAATTTATTACACTTTCAACAAAAACGATATTTACAGAACGTGTGTAAAAGATGTTTTTATTTTGAACAACAATATTTTATAAGTAAATTTTAACAACCCAGCATCGGCTAGCCCCAGAACGTTTCATCAACTTTTAAATTTTCGGACAAATTGGCAGGATTGCGCGTTCGAGATAATACATTTAGAGTACACAATATCATACTCATAATTTATAGTAGTTAATTGATGTGGAAATGACAACAATTTAAGATTACACGACAAACATTTGAACAATACACATGCTTAAAATTAAAAATATTGCTTCCACATTAAGGGGGAATCAAAAAATGTGAAAATTAATAAAATTATAGCATTTTGTGACGAACGTATACCGTGTTACCGGTAACGCAATTCTGGTATAAAAACCGTCCGGACAACGTTTCTCGAACAACCGGGTTAGGACGTCATTCCGAAGAGCATATTTTACACACTGTGGCGCCTGCGCGTTGTCACGACGGTAGTACCATAGAACAGTAGTACAGTACTGCGATGGTGGCAAAATGCAGCCTGAGTTCCCGTACTATCATGCGAAATTTAGTAATTAGTATTTACTATTTAATATTAATTAAATAAAATTTCTGATTTACGTCTACAGTGTCGGCACTCAGTACCAATTGTCTTGAATAGATATGCAATTTAAAGTTTCTAGAGGCCAATGTTTTGGGACTTTATAATCTTATATAGGATCATACAGTTATGATTTTTCATCAATAAAACATCGAAAATTAGTAAAATTGAATACTTTTCAAAGAGTTTTTTTTTCCAAAAGCATACGTTAACCTCTTTTGTAGATAGCAAGTAACGGACTTGTTTGCGACTCAAGATTCTAATTAAAGTAGAGTATCTTGCATATAAATTTCTCCTACCATAACATTATTTCACACCTTTTTTATCTACGAACAACGTAATTTATAAATACAAATAAACGGTAAAATTGTAGGATGTAACAAGGACAAGATAAAAAGGTCACGGGTTGCCAGTGTAATACCCAATACACCATCAATAACCTAGAAAATAGAAATTTATCGCCACTCTAATATTGTGTGCGAATGATTACAATCAAATCATTAGGCTACTACATTATTTTATATGTAGCATGTGATGTGTCGCTCAGTCATATAAAATCTKTACAATACTACAACATAGCAAAAACTGTACTGAGCGGGATAGATGTGATAGAACCACACTATTCACACAGGCTGTGGTACCTRTCTATATTATAATAGAGGGATACATGAGAGGCCAAGAGGCCTAATAATGTTAGAAAATGTGATATAAGATYTACCTCGGAATTTTTACTGGTAATTCAATTAACAATCTTCCATCGATTTTTTGATATTTTGTTGGAATTCAATAACGAACAATAATAGAAACATGTAACCAAATACATGGTAGGTAACATTTTCAAACTATTTGGCCTATTTTTAGGCGTTTCACATTTATTTCTATAAACATCGTCCATCTGACCAAAAATCTTGAAATCTTGAAAAAAAGTCCAGTTTGACTTATTGATTATTGAATTTGAAATTGATAATACTGAAAAATTTGATAAAATACAATTTAAGACCATAAATAATTAAGATTAATATTTATTTCGTTTTCGAATAGGTACAWTAATGGTCAATATTAATTAAAAATTCTCCCACCGATGTTTCATCAATGACCACTCTATCACATAAATTTTTTAAACGTTCACCGGTGTTACTAAACTTCCGTTTTTTTGATCCTGGAATCCCTTCTCCCCGAATTCTTGTAATGCTATTTTAGCTCTATCTACTCTTAACTCTTCACGCGTTTTAGAAATTAACTTCCCAAAACGGTTGGGTGCGCGTATCCGACCAAATGCGTAAAACGGTAGTTCCAACTTCCTACTATTATATGTATCTGGTATTTAGCGATACGTATTTTGAGTAAGTGATAAAAATCACCTTGAATGCGGACGTGTTCGTGAGAACACACTGGCCGGCATTTATACTTTATAGTAGCTTGTTCAAAATCTGAATTTATAATTTGAAGATCTATTGATATATGTTGGGTATTTAATATTTTATTTTATAATACAGATTAATTGAGCTATCTTTATCGCCGCACCTCCTAATACACATGGGTTTTCTATCTACCTGACCTTCTATTTCTGTAGATTATATAACGGGACACTTTATTCCTCCGCATAATAATTTTCTGATCGGACCTTTTTTCTGAAAAAAATTATATCGGGTTTTTTTCCGGGATTCATACAAGGCATAGGAAAATATATATAACATTAAATTAAGAACATTATTATATTATACATATCAAATCAATGACTAATGATAGAACATAATAGACGATCGGAGTTGGTATAGGCCGCAGTGGGTGAATTACTGATCGTATTTTCAACTACAAGGTGCAGGCAAGACATTAAGCAATGTAGGTACTCATTACCCGAAGATAATTGCACAAATAATTATTGAAATKAATAGTTAAGTATACCATAAAMACAATAAAAATGCGTAGTAATCTAGAGAAAAGCCAATTCACAACTTCAAGAAGTCCMATCGCTGGATGGACTCTTCGCCAAGTCATCCGTCCCTCTTATTTTGTTTTATTTTATTCTWATAATATTTCTATCCTAACAGCACTTATAATATTATTGTAAAATATTATATTTATAGATTGTATAATAAAAAAAATTGTATACAAAAAAAAGTAATCTAGAGCGTTGTGTGAATGCGTAAAAATCACAGAACCTATACCGAGTTCMTTAAGCTATAATTAAATTCTACCGACAAGTTCAGATAGCATCTCTWATAGGATTAGGATTCTATACCRCAATTTTCTAACTTTGMGTAACACATTCACAAYATAGGATTTAAGATGTGTTMTTCGCCAAAAGTTTAACGTAACGGTTGATCTAAWGAGACGATAAGAATTATTCTGAAGACAGATTTGAATTTGTCCTCAAAACTATTCAAGAATGACTTTGTCACATTTTAAATATCTTTTCCYAAATTCCTAAAAATGTTATAACAAAAAAAGTTACGAAAAATTGTTATATTTCAAGTTTTGTATATGCTTGGTTAAAAAAGTGAGAGTTGACTTCAAGTAGACTTGACACTTTGACAGTCTCCCACAAATTCAGAATTCTTATCACTTCACTACAACAATCTCTACGTTTATTGGTAAAATACGTTTAAAATGTTTGTCACGTGTATGTTAGACAAAGACAAAAAACCGCGGTATAAAATCTCACGATGCTACACGGTACACGGATATATTATTTAGTTGTATTTTTTTTTATACCTAATTAGATCAGTTTTAAAATGAGTTATGATCATCTTTATTTACGAAATATTATGTACGCAAAACCAGCTAAAAAGAAAAATTTAATTTTAGTAAATAACCCACACCCATCACAGATAAAATTCTTACCAAGTTTTATAATAGGTCGATTCATTCTAATTTTTAATCTAATTAAGCTAAACGTGATCTGCTATGTTACATTGTTACGCAGTATTAAGACGGAGACGACAAATGCCCTTGAGCAAACGTACRGTAGGCGCTCGTTGACATCCACAGGTTTCCAAAACAAAATCGAAATTTCACTAGGGTCCAAAAACTAGATTAATTGTTCCTAATTATTGTTATCTTCTTCGATGAAACAATTTCTATGCCATATTTATAACAATAACTAATGCCAAAACAAATACCTCATTGAATCCCAGTGGCCAGCATGTTGCATGTACATATTGTTTAATATTTAAAAATGATGGTATTAATGTATTACACTTTTATACAATTTATTGAGATAAAAGTAATTAAATAAAAGTAACATAATTGAGCTACATTGGAATAAAAATGTATCATGAATATCTTAATCCACACAGTGTGTGGCATACATAGATACATACAACTTACCATATATTGTGTAAAACTGTAAAATGAATCATATGAGAATGTGAATATCATAATATGGAGAAAATTATTCTGATAATCCATCAAACATAGAAATTTAATATTTTAAACACCAATTAAATTTAATTTTGATTAATATACAATTAAGATTTAAAAAAACTTATACAGTCAGTTAAGAATTTTAATTCTTCTTGACAGGGGCAAACGCAGGAATACGTTTTAAAAAATGAAATTAATTTTATTCTTGAGGGAAATTTGGAATAGGACATWAATTTTTAGTTTTTTAGATATTTTCACGAGTTAWAATATTTTTCCMCCTGCGTTCACCATTGCCATTCAAAATTACTTTTCATGTGAACAAAGGTAAAACAACACCAATAAAACCAAATAGAATTATAAAAATAATAATTAAACAAGTTTATAAGTAGATATACCATAACAACATTAACCCTTTATCTGAACAAAAATAAAACAAATGAAGAATAACAATATAAACAAAGAATAAATTATAATATAAATTAGTCATCTGTTTAACAAATTTAAAATAAATAGTCAAAAATTGGTTAATAGCTTCTTTATCTTTGGTTTATTTTCAGAGTTTAAATTGAAGAAGTTTAACCATCAAGTTTACATTTATATAAACAGTTAAACACRATGTATCCATTTTAAATTTTAACGGTTTTTTTTTATCAAAATAGTATTAAAAAATATTTTATCATAATCATATTATATATAAATATATACATGAAAAATGACTAACGATTATACACCATACACAATATTTAACAAATTCATAATATATTCATAAATAATCTTTTTTTCTAATAGACAACAAATTTACATTAAAAATATTACATGTTTATGCTCAATTTACAATTAAAAATAATAATAATAGTAAACAAATCTAAAAATAACTATATACACTAAACAAATTAAAAATATCTAACTTCTACAAAAATATTTTATTGTTTTGTTTTAACAATTATACCAATATATATTTATATTTATGTAATATATAATATGTATAGTGTATACACAAAGAGGTCCTTAACTTTTGTTAAATGATAAATGGTAGTCAATTCCAATATTAACATCAAACAGGGGTAAATTTTAAACTAATTTATAGAATTATTAGGATGAAAAAAGTTTCAATAAACTTGGAAGTAAGCAATCAACTTAAGCCTCATTATTGTGAAACATTATCATTGGTTAAGCTGTTTCAGCATAATATTTTAAGTATTAATGAAAACTTACATTTATTCTATGAACGAATAAAATAATTTAAATAATTAAATCAATTTCTATTTTTGAAACATTAATTTTGTTTCCCCTGTAAAATATTATTTATTAACACCCTTTTTTTTTTCAACAAACAGTAAAATTCATAAATTGATGCCTATTTAAATAAAAATTATGGCAAATTCCAATGCTTAAAAATGGTTAACACATCTGAGTWCATTAAATAAACCAAACTATCTATATATTATCTTAAATCGAAATAACCATACAGGTAACATAATATTTTGAGAATTATATGTTTAAAAAAATAGACCATTTATTTATCATGACCAAATCCGGATAGTCGTACATTTTAACAATTAATAAAAAGAAAAAAAAAGAAAATTTAGAACAAACCCCATAAATTACCATACATATTTTTGGTTGACACTTTAAAGAGTTAGCCAACAATAATTGTGAAAGGAAACTTTTTTTAGTTTCAAACTTCACCAAGATGTATAAAATTATGTAACTGCATAGCTAATATTATAAAAAGTTCATGAATTTATTGAAAATATATAAAAAAAAATTACTGTGATGTCATATAATAGACAATTATGCACTAAAATATTCGTGTACATGGAATTGGCCAYCCATTTAACTGCACAATTGACCCTTATACTAATTCTTGGATTTTAACAAAAATAAACCATTTTTAAAAATTATGTAATTCCAAACATAACCAAAAGATTAAAACATATTATATRAGTTAAAATGAGCTTACAAGATTTTTGAAAATATCACTTTAAGCATGCAATTTTGGTCATGACTGGTACTTTGTTTTTTTCTCTTAAATTTGAAGCTTCAAAAACTATTTCTATTCAGTCTTTGTTTGGCAATAAAGTTCTTTTAGCGCTTTTAACTCTTCAATTAGTGCTTTATTCTGATTCTCTAATACAGATACTCGGTTTTCTAAACATTTAATATATTCTTTCTTTTTTCTTCTACATTCTCTTGCTGCTTCTCTGTAAAATAATTTAAAATATAAATTAATTTAGCCATACAATTATATTAAACGAGAAAAGAAAAATTTATAGTCAATTTTTGTTTTTTAATGTTATTAGAAATATCACCTAACACTAGATTGTTAAAGTTACAGTATAATTTTCCGTGCCCTTATTAAACTGAAAAACATATCTAATTTTAATTTATATTAATCTCATGTGGATGCCAACCAAACATTTATTATATTTATAAAATACTTTACAGTTCGAGTTATTCGCAGAAATATTGATTTTTTTTTTATTATTATTACATAATAAATATTAAAATTATGGCAACTATCCAATGATTGACCTATCTATTTACAATTACTATTTCATTTATTATTTGTGATTTTTTTATATGCGTATCATACTACCATTCGGAAAATGACAATAATAATAATAATASTTGTACTGAATTCCTAAATAATGAAGTATAGTATTATAAAGAACTAGCAAAAATAAAATTTAGATGGAGCTTTTAAAATTTTATTGCTATTAGTTATATRAAAGCAATATAAAATAAGATTAAATGGTGTGTCCACTTGAGTAATCACCATACTTAAAAAGGAGTATTGGTGCTCATTTCACTCAACCAAGCAAATGAAATTTGATAGATCTCCTATGACTTCAAAAATTACAAATAGGTGAATTAGAATACACCTGGTAAAATTGTTAATATAAATTTCATTATAAAAAATTTAGCATATGCGAACAGTACCAAAAGTACTAATCAACAAATAATAATGTATATACATTATAAAATACTGTCCATGTGAAGACAAAAACATAGTGTGGTGTACTCTTAGCWTATAAAATGAATTACCTATTTTTTAATAGTCTCATTTCACGTTTTTTAACTTGATCTTCAGGTACCAAGGAACTTGTATTTAAAGTGGAACTCCCTCCTTGGGTAACTACTAAAAAATATTTATAATTCATATTTAAACAAAGCTAATTTAGACTATTATTATTGTAGTTAACAAATTTACCAGGTACAAAAAATTGTCCATCTTGACTTGCATACTGCAATATAGTACCGCCAGTGGAAGTTGCATTTGACATTGTTAATGTTGGCATATTATGCATTTCACCTTGGCTATTTATCTGAATTGCTGCAGGAACTGAAATATAAATAACAATTATTATAACATATGCCAGTAATTCAAAATTCTTTAGTAATTGTTTAAAGTCTACAATTTATTGTATCCACTTTATGTATGACAGTATTATTATAGTATATAGGGCTTAAATTAAAAGACAAATGATGGAAAGATGAAGGTATTTCCTTTAATTTTTAATGGAATCAATTCTGTTTCTTATTTTTGAGTTAAATTGTTTATATTTAATTATAGTTATTTTGTACATATTTACAATACAAATATATGAGAACTTGTGAAGACATTAGAATCATTAGATAATCATTATCATGTTGAGAATATTGTAATAGTAAGTAGTAATTAATACACACATGTGTTATTATCACAGGTAGATGTAACGATAAAATATTAATGAAAAATTGTAGAACATTTATCAAAGTACCTATTTAGTATTTACATATAGGCTATAGTAAAGTACAGAACCTATTATTAAAATATATTTAAGATGGGTAGATTGTTTGATAATCAACAGAATCGATATACTCTTTATAAGACCACTTATGAATAACCATGCATGTTATTTGTGTATTAAATATTACACAATATCGCAGAATGTGTTAAACAGTGATGCCAAACACGTATTTCAGATAGTTCAATAAAACTGCCTGCAAAAATAATATAGTATACTTCCTAATCTTGCTGCTATAATTATATTAAACACAGGAATGTCATTAAACTATGTATTATATAATTAGTTAAGCCTGTTTCTCAGCCATTTGAAGGGATGCTTGACCTAACATAACCTTTGAACTATTTGAATTACCAGTTTCAATTTCATTGGGTGCCACTGGTGTTAAGTATAGTAAGCTTCAAACTCAAAATAGAAATGAGGTTATGAATGTATAATATTTCAGGATTCTGTGTATTAAACATTATTAGTAAATATTTGTTAATAATTTCTTAACCTATCAATATAATGTCAATAATAATCATAGATAATAAAGAATATTTTCATGTTCGTTCCCATATGATAAGCATAAATGGCCTATCCATTCTTTAATATCTATGATAATAATTATGTTTAAAATGTAATAATCTCTTTTAAATATGATAACTGACAAGTGATAACATACACACAGCTGTAGCCTACTCAACATTAAAATGTTATAATGTCTGCTATTTTGTAATATGATCTAATGGAATGTTTTAAAAACAGGATATCACTCCACAAAAATAAAAATTATAAAATATTTTTTTAGTTATAATTAACTTCAACAAAWTCACAGTGATATGGATTTTAATAACAGTATATAATTTAAATAGAAAAGTTGTATTGTCAACTAGCCACAAGGTGTTTATCAAATAATTGAATTGTTTGAAAAATATTTAGTGCCATAACACAAATGTGATTTATTACTTTGCCCACTATTTTTCAATGCATATGTTGTATACAACTGTAGCCTGCAGATTTATATTATAATTATTAACTACACTATAACATATTTATTGCTTATGACATTTYACACTAGTACAACAATAATAATTTATTCTCTTTTTCTGTGTTTACTTATAAGCACAAAAATTAAATATATTTCTAGAGGATGTTACCTATGTGTTTGTTGTCTCTGTCTTACAAACATAAGAATTTTAGCACAGCAATTTTTTGTTCAGTGTTCAATAGTGTGATGTTAGTTTTTATATTAGATCWATTATCAAACTTTTTACCTTTTCACTTAAGTGTCTKTGATTTTTAAATATTTTTCTTTTAAGCAAGATATGGGTATGTGAAAATCAAAAATTCCCAAAATATCTGCTTGAAAATAAAAATATTAAACACAAGCCGAAGCTTAAGCACAACCAATGTTTATAACAAAAAGTTTGACAGTAGGTAAATTTACTCAAATATCAAAATTAACAGCACATTAATGAAACTAGTGAACAAAAATTTGCTGTCATGTATAATTTATTAAGTTGTTATAAATTCATTAACTCACCAGATTGGTAATGAGCAGACAATGAATTTGAAGATAATTCGCTGTCAAGATTTGAATCGCAATCTGAACCAGATGATTCAACTTTTCCGCCTAAACGGAAAATGTAAGAGTAATTATTTAATATGTTTGGAAACATACAACACGCGGATAGATCAAACAACCTGCGATATCATTCAAGATCTTCCGATAAGACGGCCTTCTTGTTAAAGCATCGTGGCGTAATCTTTTGGGGCTATCCTCATTTGCYGATAAGCTCTCATCACTACCAGCTTCAACAACCTTGAAAAGTAATAAGAAACATAATTATATAATATTGAAATAAGGCTTAAAGATAATAAAATAATAAGCAACAATCGTGTATGAGCACGTTGATTTGCAACATTCCAATAGAAACAGTTATTATTGTTATTAATTGGACAATATAAAAATATACTACTACCTGAAGAGTTTGAATATTTCCTTGAGGGGTTTGTATAACTGAATTCGGCTTGCTTAACAATATAACATTGCCTTTGGTGAGCATGGTGCCTTGCGTTGCAGTCTGGATGACTGACTGTTGGTTCGCCTGAATGACTGAGTGCACCTGTCGACAGTTATTTACCGATGTGACAAATACAAACATACACCACTCATTAGGTAAACAACGCTGTTTGACGTTGATGACTTACCGATGTGACAACGATAGGATTGCCAGTACCCTGCGAGACGAGGGCGTCAACTGAACCGCCAGTCCCATTTTCTTCTACCATACCGTCCATAACACGATAGGATCGTCGTTACGTCCTACGCAAACGAATAAAACAACACTTGATCATGGAGTTGACAAATTGGTGAAGTCAAGGTGGCAGTGTAAAGGCCTACACAATCACGACAATTCAGGCACGATAGCCCGCGTGCGCGTAAGTGTATTCACAATAATAAGTATCACAATAATTAATAAGGTTGCGTCGTGAGGTGTCCGATTACCGGTGGTCACGATAAACGAAAAAAATTCATTCGGTTTGTTTACGATTCCGAATTCCCATGTCGCCGGACAGTCTCCGAGGATATCCGGCATAGGCTTCGTCCGTGTTCTACTAGGGTAGGGGTAAACAACAAAAATAAATAAAGCCTTCCCACAATAATAATAATAATAACAATAATATGACAACGGCGGTGATGGTGATAACGCGCACGGACGTTTGTAAAATTTCGCGGTCCGGTCGTCGTAATATTGTAATCTACGCCAGCCGTAGTGTCGCCAGACAGCCGCGGACGACGGACATCTCAAGCATAATATCATGTTGGGAATCAACATAAATGTCGTACGACTGTCGCGGGAGAGTACGATACGGCGGCAACGACGGAAGTGTTGGAGATTCGGGCCGGACGGAACCACAAACGACGAGTAACGATAACAATATCAATCAAACGGGCAAATCGTAATACGACCGGCGACAGTGAGCGTTAACGTTAACGATAAAATAATAATAACGACGCGGACGGACGTCGGACAGCGGAGTCGGTGGCGGCGGCGGCGGCGAGAGAGATAGGTACGGAGGAGACACACGGGAGTGATGACAACACAACAAGGTATATAGCGAGCGCGCGGCCCCGTAAGCCCGCCGCCGTTACTTACCAGCAGTCACAATGTTACGTCGTACGAGAGCTTGGTCCTGCGATCCGACTGGCCCGAGCGAGTGCTACGTAGCAGCCACGTCAAATGACGTCTGACGGCGGAGTGGGGTGCGGCGCGCACGGAATTCTGCGTCATCAAAACAGGAACACGGCGGCCGCGCTGAACTAACACCGCGCCTTCACCGCCGACGACCACTACCACAACCGAACACGCCGCCGCCACCTCCGTCACGATCGTCGTCGTCGTCGTCGTCCGTCACMGCCGCGCACGCCGCATACTCGAGCGTGTAGTAGTGTACGGGCGGGGGTTGTGGGAGGGAGGCGCTCGTCGTACACCGCCGCCAACAATCGACCCGTGGCACAGGCGCACCGCCGTCGCCGCCGGCCGCCCTCCTGCCGCCATACGATCTACGCCGCCGATGTTTTTTTTCGTTATGCCCTTCGAACGCTCGCGCGATTACTAATTTCATTTTTTTTTCATCTTCTCGGGCGCACTTCGACTAATAAAATATGATAATTATTGTGATCGTTTTGTTTTATCGAATTATTAATATTTAATTATCAACCATCAAACGCCGCCGCGCTTTTCGTACGAATGCGTCCAGCGGAACTTGGTAGGGGGAGTAAAGGCGTGTATAAATATAAATCAGTTACGGACATGATGTGATCGAGAGTATTTTTTTATTTTATTTTTTTGATAGTTCCCCGAAAGAAATCAATTTATCAGTTCCACGGCCGATACGACATGAAAGAGATTCATCCAAAAAAATAGTTTCCAACTAAATTGTCAGGTCTGGTCAGGCACGTTCACAACTCGCCTATGTTCACGCCGTTGACCAAATTATGTGATCATTGATCGATCAATAAATCCAGCGCGCACGTTGACAATACGCGATATTTGACAAATGCCTAAACTAAACTACATGACGTATACTATTATGTTTGTCATGGCGATGTATCGGCGAATGTTTGCGGTCGATTTCTGTTAGCCGACGACGATCGCAAGTCGCTGCTCGCGTATTGCCCACGCTAGCGTACGGAAATAGAAAAAAACGGCCGCGGCTTCAAAGTTTACACTTCGCTAGCAATAGGTCGTGTGGCCGGCGCGAGTCGAGAGTGGAGTGGGGTGAGGTGCCCATCACCCAAATGGGTGGTCGAGTGTCGGCGACGTAATAATTTATCGTTGTTGTTCGTATACTGTATTTTCAGGTTTCAAATGCTCAACGTTTGAATGTAATTCGAGTCACCGTTGCACGATTTCAATATTTTACATTTTAATTACTAATTATATTTTATAATGTATACACAACAACGACAATGTCAAAAACGTATAATAAATAATAATATGTACGCCGTACGTGGTTCGGTTACGCGAGCGTAACCGCGTTCATTAGACGCCCCCCCCACACACGCACAATATAACACTTCAAAATTCGTTTCGTTGCCGTACCGCTTTTACACACCATTATAATTATTTTACATTGACATATTATTATTACTGCTGTTAAAAACTTTTCATCATTTGAAAATGACGTTGTTATCCGAATATTATCATAGTTATTATTATTATCATATTATTAATAAAATATTATTATTGCTTATCTGTAATCCGGTAAACGCGTGCTGCACTCCTGTGCATAATATTACTTATTTACTTGTAATAGTTGTAACAGTGGCGGCGGCCAATGTGCATCATACTCGATTATAAATTATTATTAATAATTTTTTTTCTATTATGATATTGAAGTTATCGAACGTATATAATATTATATTTATTATTTTCAATTCAGCTCATAAAATATAATATATATTATATATATATATATATATATATTAATTATCGCTTCGTGGTGTGTGTGTGTGTGTGTCTTACAATAGGAAAATGTCTGTTTAAACGAAAATAATATCAATAATATCATATAATATCATATCTATATCAATGACAGACACGGTTATATTAGAACGCCGCCATCAGACATTTTTATGTGCGGTCGAACGACATTATTATGAATTTTTTACCGACTTAACGACGACATCGCGATCATGATATTGTTGCGCGGTCGATCGACGAAAAGGTTCACCATGTGCGGCGTATACTATAAACAGGGCCGGCCAAAGGTATTTTGACGCCCCGGGCAGTTTTTTGAAAGGCGCCCTTAATCAAAGGCTCCATAATACATTTAATACTTTTTATACTTACCTATACATATTTTGTTTAAAATTATAGTTATGGATAGGTGTAAAGGATTGCAAAACTTATTTGGATACAATTTATTGACTTATCGGCTGTAACACATACTTTTTTGGTTTTCCTGAGTTAATGAATATAATATATTATTTTTTAATTATTTGTAATATAATAATAAAAACTGGAAAGTGGAGTAAAATCTATAAAATATATAACAGAATATTCTGTCATAGATCATTTAGTCATTTAGCTATATTATTGTCAATGTGAATAAATATTACGCTAAAATTTATAAAATATTCGCATATTATATGCGCCCGGGGCTACCGCCCGGTTCGCCCGTATCTTGGGCCGGCACTGACTATAAAAATAATAATATGTGAACATTGCAAGTACTTAAATTGGAACTGATGAAATTAAAGCTCAATAAACCGTGGAAAATCTTTTTCTCAAATAATTATTGATATTAATTACCTATGTTATCAATAAATTTATCTAGTCGGGAAAAGCAGAAAGCCACTGTGAGGAGGAGGGGGAAGGAAACAAGGAAACGGAAACGGTGGGTGACATTCTGACATTGCGGGTTTGATTGCGGCTACACAAATCGAAATATGCATAATATGACGACGACGAGCTGTTATTCCACTGCAGTCGTTTGACGGCGATAGTAAAATATTATTTTAGGTAATTATTTATTTTGTACCCATCGCGCATATAAGTTCGTTATTGCATAATATGTTATGATTATTGTGAACGAACGTTTTATACGTAATACCGGCGTTGATCTATCTTATGCATTTAAAGGATAACTAAAGTGCGAAATTCGCGATTTGATAAAATTAAACATGGCKATCCATCCTTTTGTAGTTGGCCGGTCAATTTACACATTTATAAACACCGGGGGACCGCCGAAAAAAATTAAATATTTTTATTGGTATTTTATTGTATATAATGAACATATAATTGTAATAATATATATTATAGTACACAAGTTATCATAATATTATAGAATAAACCTGTAGATTAGTATGCRCGGCCGCGCCATATCACTTCTTTAGTTTTTTTTTCGTCATCTAAAATTATAAGATATATTATGTCTTCTAAGGAGAGCAAAAATAAGGCTTGGAGGGCCGCAGGTTGGACCACCCTGAAATAAAATATACGCCATATTATACATATAGTCGCTAGGATGGGTACCCAGATAGGTATAACAATATCTTTATGAAAATAATTATTAACCACACGATGAAGTAGACTGTAGTCGAATATTTTCAACCATTTTGTATGTTATTATTGTAACGCGGTTTAAACAAAAACGACGTCAATGTAATAATATAATTAGTGATAGGAGTTTTTAGTATGTTAAAATGACGAAAAATTTTTCATTTTGAAAATAAATAATTACTACGTATATTAAAGGTTCATCAGACATGGGTGGATAGGCCATTTTTGGCCTACCGGAAAATTTTAAAAAGGGGCCTCCACATGAAAACAAATTTAATAACATATGATATTAAAGGGCCCCATTACCAAAATACGAAGGGGGGCCCACCGGGAAATGCCTGGTTGCCCGGTAGGCCAATCCGCCTATGACATCAGAAAACAACCAAGTCCCCTCTTCTCCGGTTATAGCGTTTGTTACTGTGAATCGCACTCAAAACACTCCGTAAATCGAAATGTATTTTTACGCAAAAAAAATAATTGCAGCTTAATATATTATTATTGTGTACCAACTTTTAATTATACACCGCCTCTGATGTTCTATATAGTATATACTACACTAAACGACTAAACCATTCCCCTATTATCGAATTGTGAACGCCTGTGATTTGAAAAAAAATATATAAACCTATATAGGTATAATAGGTAGTACTGGTAGTAGGTATACCTATACAAATTATGAACCACCAACCACACGGGCACACAGGCACAGTGAAGATGGGTTTGCAACCAGGTTAGGCTAGGTTAGCTTTCAGGATCTTCCCGTGGACCGTTGAAAATAATTTATCAAGTATATCTGTTTACTAGTAAAGATCCAATGAAGCATGATCGCCCCAACTCGTCGAACAATATTGTGGTTGCGCTACAGTGAATTATAAGTATACCTAATTGAATACTTTCAACTATTTGGTTTTTATATATATGATGGCGTGTTAAACCACGGCTTACGCGGTAAACGGCGACGGTCCGATTAATTTTTTATTATCAAATAATAAAATAATTATATATATACTATTGTTCGAAAAGCAGAAGACCGCAGGAGAGACACATCGTGTGTGCTGCTGCGGTTCGCGCGCAAACCGCTTCACAAATCAAATTGTATTAGTTGTTGTTGCAAGTCTCTCGATGTCAATAACATATAATTATTTTTTGCCTATCACGCATAAACGTAATTACTATTAATTTGTACGTATAGTATGCTGTAGAGCAATGCCTTTGAATTGGCTGTGGTGGTGAGGTGTATATTACGTATAGCCCGTATAGGTTAGGTCGAGTGTGAACGGGTCGATTTGAATAAAAAATAATAACTTTATAATATAGTCATGCATCGTCATGCATATGTCGGTACCTATAAAAATTACGATTAATTCCCGGTTTGTCTAGTAATTTTTTCTATTATACGTTTATCTAACCCGTTCTGAATCGTAGAATTGCAGAAACAAAAAACTCACACATATTTATGCGGAAAACCCAACCACACTGGCCCTTCAAGGTCGTCGAGATACGCGCTGCTAAATAATATTATAGGTACTACCTGATAATAATAATATTCGAATCGAAATATTATTGTACTATGTATAA